AGACTGAGGGCCTCCCACCTCCGGGTATAAACCTAAGATGTAAACACCCCTATTGAAAGTGACTTGATTGTCAACGAAGTGGCTGTGATACCCCCCCTCCCCTCAACCCCCCCTCTCTCTTTTCTATCTCTCTAAGCTCTGCTTATCCCATCTCTTTTCTCTTCTTCTTTCTCTCTCTTTGTTTAGTTTTTTCCAGGCAAGATCACACGGTTGTAGGAATAATGTAGCTTAAGTACTAGATTGATTAGCAAATATAACGGCTACTTGTACTACTTAACTGCCTGTTTTTGATTTAAACATAAAATACCTCAATAGACTGCGGGTGCCAAAGGTATATTAAGGAACGGGCTTGCAATGATAAGGTTGTATTGTATTTCCTTGCAATGTTATGTAATTCAACTGGCTTGCTTATAAGTCCAAAAGTGAATGTACCCCTGTTACGTTTATTGTAAAAAAAAAGAATAAAAAAAAAAAAAAGATGGAGAGTTACGTCCTTGCATTGACTACAGGGAATTAAACAAAATTGCTATAAAGAATGCCTATCCCATTTCCCTTATATCCAAATTGTTTGATAGACTCCAGGATGCTAAGATCTTTACCAAACTTGACCTTAGGAGTGCATACAATTTGGTGAGGATTAGGGAGGATCACGAATGGAAGACCGCATTTAACACTGGGAGTGGGCAATTAACGATGTACTCATATCTATTTATTTGTTCTAGATTACCTGGATGTTATCCTTATTTATTCCCCAGACCTCCAGACTCATCTTGAACAAGTATTACAAACATTGCTTGATAATGGACTTTATTGTAAACTTGAGAAATGCATATTTGATCAGCATGAGCTTCAGCTTTTGGGGTATAATATTTCTGCCTCTGGTTTCCAAATGGATCCTCACAAACCAGAGGCTGTTTTACACTGGCCGTTACTCAATGGGTTAAAGGCCATCCAAAGGTTTATTGGTTTCTCTAACTATTATAGGAGATTCATCAAAGGTTTCTCTTCGGTAATAGCCCCCATCACCAATATGACACGCAAGGGGGCTAATTGTACTATATGGCCTAAAGAAGCTAAAGAGGCTTTTTAGCTTCTTAAACAATAGTTTGTATCTGCTGACATAGTAAGACATCCTGACATTAGTAAATCTTTCCTACTTGATGTTGACAGGGGTCTGGGCTGTTCTTTCTCAGAGAGAGAGTCAGGATGCCCCTTTGCATCCATGTGGATAGTTCTCCAGGAAGTTGTCTCCTGCCGAGCGTAACTATGACATTAGTAATAGAGAACTGTTATCCATCATACTAGCGCTTAAGGAATGGTGACATCTTTTGGAGGGTTCCAAGGATCCCATTCTGATTATTACTGATCACAAGAACCTGGCATATTTTGGGGATGCCAAAAGACTGTCTTCTAGACAAGCTAGATGCTCATTATTTTTGTTTCGCATTAACTTCATTGTCACCTACAGACCAGGTTCTAAGAATGTTAAAGCTGATGCCTTGTCTAGGCAATCTGACGTTGAATCGGATCTAGAACAAGAAACATCCACTATTATTTCTCCTGAGTGTATTATTGCATCCACTGTCCTTTCTTTATTGTACCCAATGCTCCGTGCTATCATGGCAGCTCTGCCCCAGGCACCTTGCAACAAACCTCAAGATAAATAGTTTATGCCACTGCTAGTGATGTCCCGAACGGTTCGCCACGGACTCATCATTGAGTAAACTTTGACCCTGTACGTCACAGTCAGCAGACACATTCCAGCCAATCAGCAGCAGACCCTCCCTCCCAGACCCTCCCACCTCCTGGACAGCTCACTAAGAATGCAGCTTCACAATGAATGTAAAATGGATGCTGTCCAGGAGGTGGAAGGGTCTGGGAGGGAGGGTCAGCTGCTGATTGGCTGGAATGTGTCTGCTGACTGTGAGGTACAGGGTCAGAGTTTACTCAATGATGAGTCAGCGGCGAACCGTTCGTGGTGAACCGTTCGCAAACCGTTCGGGACATCACTAGCCACTGCCTTACAGGAAAGAGGTGCTGAAGGTATTCCATGACAATATGACCGCTGGGCATCCGGGTATTAATAAAACTGTATCCACCATTTCTAGGTCATTTTGGTGGGAGTCACTCAGGAGGGATATTAAAGATTATGTAGAAGCCTGCTCTGTCTGTGCAGTTTTGAAGGTTCCTCATAAACTTCCTTGTGGATTGTTACAGCTACTTCCTTTACCCAGTATCCCATGGTCTCATTTATCGATGGATTTCATTGTTGAACTGCCTAGTTCCAATGGATATACAACCATCCTCATGGTAGTTGACCGTGTTTTCCAAAATGGCACACTTTACTCCACTTAAAAATTGTTATCATCTCAGGATCTGGTGCACATATTTATACGCGATATTGTCAGGCTACATGGTATTCCTCAAAATATTGTTTCTGACAGGGGTTCCCAATTTGTGTCACGGTTCTGGAGGGCATTCAATAAACAGTTGGACATTGAATTGTCATTTTCCTCTGCTTACCATCCCCAAACTAATGGTACGACTGAAAGAACTAACCAATCACTTGAGCTGTATTTACGTTGCTTCATGAATAGTACACAGTCTAACTGGGCTGAATTATTGCCCTGGGCCAAATTTGCAAGGAATAACGCTACGCATGACTCATCTGGGCATAGTCCGTTTTTTGTTAAGACGGGTCATCATCCTGCTGTTCTCCCTGCTGTGTTTTCTGATACAGCTATTCCTACTCTGGATGATCACCTCACCTCTATTCGTGATACCTCTACTAAGGTTCACTCCGCTCTTGAAACTGCAGCTGCTCACTTTAAGTTTCATGCGGATAAACGGCGGAGTGCCAATCCAGTTTACCAGGTGGGTGACCAGGTTTAGTTATCCTCACGCAACATCAGGTTAAAGGTTCCCAGCATGAAGTTTGCTCCGAGGTTCCTTGGTCCTTTTCTTGTGGTTAGGAGAATCAACTCTGTTTCTTATCTCTGGCCCTTCCAACGTCCTTACATATACCTAATACTTTTCATGTGTCCTTGCTCAAACCTCTTGTTTGCAATTAGTACACAAGTCGGTTGTTCCCCCTCCTCCTTTGGTTGTTTCTGGACAGGAGGAGTACGAAGTCTTCTCCATCATTGATTCCAGGTTTTCTTGTGGTTCTTTACAGTATTTGGTTGATAGGAGGGGGTATGGGCCTGCTGACCTTTCTTGGGTTTCGGTTTTTGATATCCATGCTGGCCGTAAAATTAGTTCTTTCATGCCAAGTTTCCTCTCAAACCTGGTCCTGCCCACCCGGTGGGCGGTCTTCAGGTGGGGGTAATGTCATGTATTCATCCGCACATAAAAATGTGGTTAATGGCATTTACCGTGTGTTAATAACTTGTGACTGTGTTCAACCCTCCCTTTTTTCTACTGATTCTGTGTTCCTGACCTCATCAAGTATTTTGACTATTCTTGGATACGTTAAGTCCAGCCATTCTAAAGTCTGGTTGTACGTTATCCTTAGTCCTAGGTGTGACACAGTTCTGCGTGCTGGATAAACTTACTCAAAACCCTGCTAAAATATGATCTATACTGTAAATTAGAAAAGTGTCAGTTTGATCAAACCGAAGTACAGTTCCTCAGATATGTAATATCCCCCTCTGGTTTTAAAATGGACCCACGCAAACGGGACGCAGTATTACAGTGGCCGTTACCCAAGGGTCTTAAAGCCGTACAACGCTTTATTGGATTTGCAAGTTATCATTGCAGGTTCATCAAAGGCTTCTCATCTGAAATAGCTCCTATCACCAACCTTGCCCGAAAAGGAGCTAACAGTAATTCATGGCCAGAGAAAGCAATAGAGGCATTTGAAAAACTGAAAACTTTATTTGTCTCAGCACCCATTTTAGCACATCCAGAACCCACCAAACCATTTATTTTAGAAGTTGATA